TACCCCCCAAGAGAGAAAATAGTCTAAATAATTTTGGTGCCTTCTCGTTAAGTTGAGGTTTAACCACTTTTTATTATTATATATATTGCTGCCAATCAATTAATGAAAAATGACGATTGAGAATTTGTCTCTCAAACTTGCAATAAAAGTTTTGTGCCGTAAAACTCTCAAAAGGTATCATCCTAAAAATAAAAAACTACAACTTTTTGGCTTCTCAGCAAGTTAAGGTGTGATATATACACACACGATTTTTTAAAAAAGTATATGTAATAAATTTTATTAAAAACTATAACTTTTAATTCTATTGATACATTAAATTATATTTTAATAAAAATTATTATATATATATATATATATATATATATAGAGAGAGAGAGAGAGAGAGAGAGGGAGAGAGAAAGAGTTTATAAACATAAGATATTGCTTTTTTTTCCCCAAGGAACTGGATGTAATTCCGCATCTATCATTAGAAGGAGTCTTAATCCCATGCTTGTCAATAGGGAAAAAAATATAAAATGACATTTATATTTTACATTTTATTTCTAATATTTATTTCATCTCATATTTATAAAACTTAATAAGAATGACTTTAAAAAAATTTGCTTAAAAGTAAATGCTCATATTTATAAAATAAAAATGTGCACATGTTTCTTAATAAATTTACTAATTACATGAGTTAATGTAAAAAAAACTTTTCTGACAAAATGTCTTCAACTCAAAAATCAGAATGTAGCTATAAATTTTTTAAGTACTGAAGTGAAATACTAATAAATGGAGATATCATTAAAAAATAATTAATGTATTTTTCATTTTTTAAATAAAGAAATATATAATATGAGATCAGAATCTCTCAATTTTTTGGCACAAACTACATCCTTAGAGTTATTGTTTCTTTTGTATTTTTATTTGAGTGAAAGTAAAAAATATACTAACTATAGAACAATTATTATACAAGGTCTCAGTCTTATGATATGTAATGGAGAGAGTAATAATTTAGTTAAACTTTGCTACAAAAATTAAAAATATATTTTAATATGGTCATTTTTAAATGAATAATATTAACAATATATCATTTAAAAAGAGAATTTTTTCATACTAATATAAGTTAAAAAACTCTTACACTCAATCTAAACTTTTTATTTAATTTATATTTAATAAGTTATAATTTATTATTTTACTGGATGTAAATTAAATAAAATACTAAGATTAAATGTAAAAGTTTTTAGACTTATACTAGTGTGAAAAATTTTTGCCTCTATCATTTAACTTATTTTTTAATACACTTTATACTGTTAGCTCAAATTTATTAAAAATTAAAAAAATTATGTAAATCTTAAATTTTTTTACTTAAATTAATATTTATTTCTTGTATTTTTTAAGTTTTAATAAATTTTAATCCATAACAAATAGTGTATTAGGGAGAACGTGTTGATAATTATTTTTCTTTTCAAATGATCTCTAGAGTCCAGACTTATAATTAGTGCTAATCATGTTAGCTCGTGTCCACGTAATTTTATTGCTCAGTTTTATCCTTACTTAATATTCTATATTAGATTCATGCAATGTTTGGTTGAGGAATTATTTGTGTAGGTAACTGAAAAGTTCCATAAGATTACAACCCAAATTTGGAGGGCATGCTCAACACACAGGGGATTCCTTTTTCCCTTCAGTGAAAATTAATTTCATATACAACATTCAAACTCAATATCTTGTTTTCTTTTCCTTTTTCTTTTTAATTTAACCATATATCATTTAAAGTAGTCATTTATTGATATTTAATTACCTCTGTTTTAAAATGTGATTTTGACAAAAAAAAATCAATTCAACTGACCACAAGAATATCAATTTCCTTTTTCATTCAAAGTCATTAGGTAAAGTAAATAATATCCGAAATAATCGATTTTGAGTGACCCAAACAATGTAGACTTGGAAGACTACTGCGTGGTCAAGAAGGGGCACAAAGTCAATGGCTATATGTTAGGATGATACCCAAATTCCAACCTCTTGTGGTCCTCAAAGACCTGCGATAATTTTAAGATTTATTTTTAATTTAGCTTTGCTTTATTTAATGATTTTAAAATTATTAAATTTTATTAATTTTGAGTGTACATTCTTGTTATTATTAAAGAGAAAAAGGTTAAATTTTTTATTTTCTAGTTGAATTATTTATCTCTCTTTCATCAATTTACATTCTACCACATGTCAAATTCTTGAATCATTTTTTGTTGTTGTTATTGATTTTAGGGGTGAATCTCTGAGGTTGATCTTAAAATAAAAATGTTAACAAAATTATTAAAATAATAATAGTTAATTGTACAAATTCTAACATTGAATAAATAAATGATTCTATATACGGTGGAAACGCGTGCGCATGTTTCATTCTCCACGTTCCCTCTTTCCCGGGTGATATAATCTTAAAATGAATCAAACAACAATTGTCAATGTCGAATTAAAACTAAAAAAAAAAAAAAACATAATTAATGATATATGAATTGTCCAAAATGGAAGATATATAGTCAGCGACGAGTTGGAGTTCTTATCCATCCGAAGGCAAATCCTGTAGTGAAGACAAGCATACGTGCATGTCTCTTCATTCTTCAACAAATGGGGAAAAAAGTGGTCAAGAAAGAGCAAAATAGAATATTGAGAGAGTAATGCTAGCAATATATTTTTTATAAAATCTTAATTATTATTTAAATTTTGTTAAAACTTTAAAAATAAAAAGTGAAGTTTATATAATATTTATAATTATTAATGTGTTATTAAAAAAAGTGTGGACTTTGACTGCATCGGTTGGCTTGTTAACCCCCCACTTGTGGGTACCATCCTTGAATAGAATGCTTCAACAAAGGTGACCCCATTTTCAATCTTTGCTGAAGTAAGCCTCACATCATTATTCTACATTTTTATCATTGTGACTAATGAGCAACTACTAATCCTTTTGCTTCTTTGCATGTGAAGCATGATGCATCCTCTTACCATACAAAAGGGCCCCCCCTAATAATAATGTTAAGTTGGGGTTGCAAGATTTTTCATTTTTCGATTACAAAAATTATTTTTTTATATATTTGTTTTTTTAACATGTGCCTAATGATACATAATAAAATTTTTTAAAAATACTTTAATTTATTGAAATTATAATATTTAGTATCCGTTAGATCATTATGGAACTAAGTCAAATATATATATATAACTAGAAAAATCAATTTATATAAGATTTTAAATTAACATATAATGATTGCTATAAATCATGCAAAATAATTAGTAGTACATCATTGATTTTCTTTAAGTAAAGATCCATGTTTAGACAAAAAAAAAAAAAAATAATTAGTAATTTTTTTATCACTCTTGATTTTCTTTAAGTAAAGATCCATGTTTAGACAAAAATCAATTTAACTAAAGTAAAATAGAATTTCTATCACTCTTGATTTGATCGGCAAAAAGGACAGTTTCATTAAATTAACATAACTATAATTCTTATTCGTAAGAATAAAAAATTCTATTAATTAATTCCCCTTTCCTCTCTCAATATATTACATACCTTCTTTTTTTTTCACAAAACATCTCACATTTTATTATATTTTAACTTTGCCAAACACTATTATTTAAATTTAATCAATTTTAATTTATTTAAGTGTTGACATAAAAATTAAAATAATTCACATCTGTTGTTTGAAGTTCATAAATTTAAAATTTAACGCATTATATCAAATATTAAGTTACGCAACTTTTATATTTTACAATTTTTACTCTTTTGCTTTAAATACATATTTATAATTTAGTTTTAAAAATCTTATCAATTTAACCCATTTTATATGATAAAATTAAATATACAATTTTAACAATGTAAACATCTCTTTTAGAACTTATTTATATTCAAAACACATCATTTCTCTATTGTTTCATAATAGCAGTATTTTTTTCTTTTTATATATTTCTTTTAATTTATATTTTAAAATTTTAAGTATCTGTACAATATACAAAAAAACTTATTAATAAATTGTCAGATTCCCAATAATTTAAATGCAAAACTATACTATGGTCCATTTAATTATGAGAAATTACTTTTTAAATTTATTTGTTAATAATTATAAAAATATCATTACTTTCGATTGATTTATATAAAAAATGACAAAGAAACCAAAATGTTATTTTCACCACTTCCTATGCAAATCTTTTAAAATAAAAAAAATTTGTATTTTTACAATTATTTTAAAAAATCAAAATCTCAAACTAACATATCTTTCCTCGCTTTCTTTGGGGAAAATTTCTGAATGCTAAATTGTTTCTTCTGCCATTCATTATTACTCTGCAAAAGAAACGAAACAGATAATGTGTAATTATGTTAACCAAACTGCACCTAAACAGAAATGCATCAGAAGAATGGAGGACTCCAAATGAAACTCACTCATTGCACCGATCCTCTCTTTTACCAGAAAAATGGTAAAACAGCAACGACTATAGTATTTCAACTTTTTTGGGTAGAAATAAAATACAAATTCTACTGCATTAGATGAAATAAAATACACGTTACTAGCAATAAAGAGCAAAAACTATGGTGCAATGGACCTTTTCAGTATGGCATCGCAATGTAAGCACCTTGAACTTCAGAGACAAATCAAAACTGAAACTCTTAAGAATTCCATAGTTTGGGAGAGAAAAATAAACGTAAGCCAACACCATCCTTAGTGAGCATAACATACCAAACTTAAAATATCGTATTTCATCATCTTATACCACTGCAAGATGTTCGGTTTCCGTGTTGTTTCATTCATTAGTTGTACTGTTTGTGGTTTTATACATGAATAAAATGCTTTGGAACGAATTTCACATTCATAAAGGAAAACAAAGAGCAACAGCTTGCTCAGATTCGTCCATTCAACATTGATCCAGGAATGAATACCACAGAGTTTAATAAAATCTGTCAAGCCGTAATAAAGTAAAATGTTCGATAGTTTTGCAATTCAGACGTGCAAAAAAGAGCATTGGCATCGAGAAAGAAAGTCAAGTAATAAGAAATAGGTATATAATTTGGGTTTAACCTACACAAGTATACAGGAAGTATTCTTAACTAATCAGGAAACTACAATCATTAAGCACCAACCCTGCCTGGATAATGAAGTACATACATAGGTACACCTACAACAATGGCTTTGTTTAAAGCCTATGTATTCCAATGTATTCCACTAAATATTGAATATTTACCATTTACATTCTACTAATGCTTATGATTAATATTCAATGAAAGTTTAATCTGTCACTGATCTTCTGAAATTATTAGTAAGACTGGTAAGAGATTGGGCTACTTCTATCATGGCGACGCGACCTAGAACGGCTAACGCTATCCAATGTTGCCCCAAAAGCTCTCCGGCTGTATTCATAATTGTTGCCACTATAGTGAGATCCATACCCACTAGATTGGTCAATTACACGAGAAGGAGGAACTGGCATTGGGTTTAAAAATGTAAAAAACTCAGCAATCATTAACCAAGTTCTAATGAGTCAATTTTTTTTTGTCAATATAACTTCAATTTAGACATAAAAGAGAAATTTTAGCAGGTGAGAAAAGCATACATTACCTTGGGAATGATTTACAGCATAATCTGAAAATCGATCAGGAGTTGATAACTTAGCAGGGTGCTGAAAATTTTCTGAATTATTTATTGGCACTGGATAAGGCCTTGGTCGTTGAGAAGTATTTGATGCAGGTGTAATTGCTGTAGAACCGTTAGGGGTAGTTTTTTCTTTCCCAGATATCTGTTTATTGGCAGACTGTATAAGTCAATTCACAAAGCTTAACACCAGGACAAAAATCTAAAATTTCAATTACTATTTATTACATGGATTTTTAATAAAACCTATGGAGCCCATTTATACAATGTCTCAAGGTATAGTTGGACACTTCAATACATCCAAACATAGCATATGGCACATGGATAGAATGGAACAACACATTCTATCTTGATTCATTATTCTTGGTTTCACCATTTTTAGTGAAATCAAAATACTCTATAGTTTAACCACATTTCTTGTTTTGTTCTATTTTAAAATATATCAAAAATAGAATAGAACCTATATGTTTCGTCCTGCACCAGGTGACATGTATCCCAAACAGAACAGAATGGAATACTCTGTTCAGTTCCATTCTCAATCTTTCATCCATTTCTGTTTATCAGTGTTCTTTTTATTTGTTTTTTATGGTGTTTGTTTTATTTTTCTTCAACACTGTTCTTCCAACTTCCCAATGTAACTGAATATGAAAAGTGCCAGAAATCTGGAGTGAAAAATTAATCTGAATTTAAAAAAGAAAAGAAATAAACCAAGAATGTGAAGTGGAAGTCAAGTTCTGCCTTCACTCTTCCTCACATCAACTCATTCAAATCTGTTGCACCTTCTAGGGTTTTTTGCATGGCCTTCGCAGTCACAGCTACTTCTTCACCATCGTTGTTGATTTACACTTAGCAGCACCAATTCTCCACCTCCTTCTACCACTCATGGTGGTGCTCCTCCGTCTTTTACTTTCTCTCTTTGTACCACCTCAAGGTGGAGATGATGATACTGATAATGTTGACTCTCATCTAATTACCAACAACAAAAAGCTTAGAACTATTTTTCTAGGATGCTTATATGAATACACCACCTCACAGTAGATTTGTTCTGCACCCCCGATTCAGGAGAAGGAGATACACAATCAACAAGCTAGTGAAAAAGTGAAGGCGGGCATGGATAAAGACCAATTGAATTTCAAAGGTTAAAATTTTAATGAAGTATAACACTTTTCAGAATTTAATAAAATAGAAGAGAATAAAAAAAATCCAATATCTGGTAAAAAAAAAAAGGCAAACTATGGCTGCAAGCTCAAATTGGAAATTTTCATTACTCAGTATAAGCAGTAACCATGGAAGCTTACTTGAAGAAAGGTGGGGAAAAAGGGGGGGGGAGAACATGAACAAACAATAGTGAATGGTGGAGAATTACCAAAAATAAATTGTTGGATTAGTTTACTGTTGATGATTTAACATCTATTTAATGGAAAGACCTATTGTAACAATAATTAGAGTTTAGGGACTAACAGAGATGAAATCAAAGTTGATGGTGTCTTTCTGCAAAAGCCATAATGTTTAGAATGATTATACAATTTTCCGTGATTTTAAAAAGTACCAAACACAGAATAAAACTCATGTTATGTTCAATCCCATTAGGTCTATCAAACACTGCAGCAAAGATGAAACAGGTTCACCCATATACCCAGCGATAGCCAATCCCATAATGTTGCATAATAATTCTTGATCAACAAAGCTAAATTTTCATTCAATAATTTCAAATAAAGATTGAAAAATATCTAAGTCTCAGTAGGCTGAAAGCACAGGTGTCAAGAACGCACCGCAAACTTAAGTGTTCTGTTGTATAGTGTCACGAGGCCAGAGAAGAGCCTGACAGCATAGTCTGCAATCTCCTCAGTTTCATATTCTGCAAAGGCAAAACCTTTGGGTTTCTCCGATTCCTTATCTTTAGGAATGTACAAGTCTACCACTCGTCCTGCTTGAATTAATATATCATACAAGACCCTGTCTGTCACCCTCTCATCCAGATTGCCTGAGTCAAATAGAAGTAATTTAATCAGCATCCAAACATAGATGCTTAAATTATCAATATTTATGCACATAACCAAAAGCCTATAGAAAGTTGACTTTGTACAAATAATAAAAATCTTGATCAACCATCTTTATTAAGAATTGAAATCCTGTTATATAAATCCCATGAAAATAATAAGATAAATGCATGCTTGGATAGAGAAGTGCAGAAACACAACTGAAGCTGTAGAGTGTAACTGAGAATAAAAAGAAATACATTCTACAAATCAGTGTAGCAAGACTTGGGATCATCCAAAATTCCAAAAATTATTAAGCATATTAATCAAAGAATGATTTCCATCAACAAAACCTTTGGCAAAAGTAAACATAGAAAAGAGAGAAAATGAGCTTAACAGTAACACATTAAAGGATACTTTCAGAATAACTACATAAATATGAACCATAGTAGTCAATCTCAGATAACGGCGGAATGACCAACCTCAAAAACGCTATAGCGGGGATAGTGGTAGCGGGATGACCGTTATTATGAAGTTTTAATACACACACATACATGCTGAAAAATTAAAAATTAATATATAAATTTGGAACAAAACAAAAAGGAAAACTCAAATTAGAGAAGGAAATAAATAACAAACAGCAAAGGGTGCAGGAGCAGCCATTGCTTCTACTTGAAGCTTTGAATTTGAAATAGAAATGAGTAGGGGAATCAAAACAGAGAAGGAAATAAAAAAACAAAAAACAAAAATAGAAAAAAAAAAGGTTCAGTCACTGGAAAATGTGCAGTTCGCCGGAGATAGAGAAGATGACCGAAAAGTGTTTGGATGATGTCGGAAGCTTCACTAACCTTGAAGAAGACGACGAGAGATGAAGAAAATGACTCATCGGAGATAATGACCGGAAAATGTCCCTTTCTTGTTAGAAGCCTTGTCAGAGATGAAGGTCACACTCCAGCGATGGAAACAAAGATGAAATGAAAGGAGAAATGAGGGGAGAGCTGAGAGGAGAGTTGAGAGGTGAGTTGAGGGGCTAGGGTTTGTGAGAGTGAGGGAGAAGATTCAAAAAATAGGGGAGGGGGAGGCGAAATCCCACAATTGCCCCCAATATTAAAAAACAGAGGGCAGATTTGGAATTTTCAAGGAGGACAACATAGTGACCGCTATTCATGGCGCGATAGCCGTGACATTGAACTGCAACGCTATATGGTCACCATAGCGGGACTGCTCCGCTCCACCGCGATAAAGGCTGCTATGGCCACTATTGATAACTATGATATGAAGAAAACCATCCCCTATTGAAAGAGACAGAGCTCCTATTAAAAGACTAAAATGCTAAGGAGTGCATTTGAGCAAGCATAACTTCCATTCTTCGTGCATCAAACACAATACAAAGATGGAAGAAGAGCTTCAGTGAAAATCTACTTGCTTAATCTCCACCAGCAAACTAAATATAAATAGAAGTTCCATCTTTCTCTTTTTGTCTTATCTTCCTTGCTCCTATAGTACTTTCCATCTTTCTTCTCTAATGTTTTTTTTCTCTGTTAAAATAAAAGCTATTTGCAGTATGCAATGTTTGTTGTTCTATGATGTCTCTAGGTAGAAAGAAATGCTCAAACTTTTAAAAAGGAAGACCTGTACCCTCAGGGATGTTTTTGGGCAAGGTCATTGTGTTAATTTCTACTTTCTTGAGTCTCTTGAGTAGATTTAGAGGGAGTGGAGAGCTATTTTTAACTCATGATTTTGTAGGATTCCCTTTGTTACTGTAGTTGGTTTTCCTATAAATTTGTCTATGGTCCTTCCTTTCCTTCGTTTGTATATTGCTTCCCTTCTGATAAAATCTTCTTACAACAACAAAAATCCTATCAGTATTTGTTCACTGCAAACAAAACATATTGTAGCATACAGAAAATGTAATGAATCATGTATCAACTTAATCTCCAACCTCTCCCCTTTAAAAAACATATCTTCATTCAAGAATCACAACTTACTCTTCATTGTCCTAACTAAAACATATGCACTTAGAATTCGTAGTATTTTTACTTTCAGTAGTCTGCTTGATAATTGTTATAATGCTGTTGAAGTAATAAACAACTCTTTGATGGTGGCTAGAATCAGCAGATTAAGTTGCAATAGCCTTCCTAAACTACAGATAAGGAAAGCAGAAAGAAAGCAAAGTGAGAGGTTAAAAGCTGAAAATGACTTTAAATGGACATCTTAAATGAAACTCTTAACAGTCAACATCTTTCAACATGATTAGTATTAACCCAAAAGATGATTGAATTAACAAATAACTGACTATCAGTTACTTTGCCACAAACCCAAGGAAATTTTCCTATCACATGCATAAATCATTATAGACAAAAGACACACAATAAGAACCACATACTGAAACACAACTTTATCTCACTTCAGTCTGAGAATGTCTCTTTAAAAAGTTGCATTCAGGTAACCTATTTGGCTATTTTTAAGAAAAATAAATAACTAAACAAAAAAATTCAATAAATAAATTTCTTACTATGCTATGAAGAAACTGAAGAAAGAAAAAAAATAATGAGGTTACCTATATAAACAGTGCAATTTGAGTTGCCAGACATGGCCGTATCTGGTCTGATGTGAAGTCCAACCACAATATGACTTTGCACCCCGGATGAACCTCTAACCAAACATGGGATGAGAATCAGTCGCTAATAAGTACCAGAACCTAAAACAAGGGAATCTGAAGCTGAATAATGATTTAGGTGGTAATGTTTAGACTTTCAGAATTTAATATTAGTGTGTTACGGGTTTGCATATACAAGAGTGTTACGGGACAATGACTCTGATCATTGCAGCAGACTGAAATTCAAGAGAATAATGAATATAGAAAGATTAAATTTCCACAATCTGCTCTCAGAAAAAAGTTTAGCATTAAGTTAAAAATCCAGAACAATAAATAACAGTACATAATATGATTTAGAAATACGATTAATCATAAAGGCAATCAAAAACCTACATTCTGATATCCAAGCCGAAACAGAGACAATATAACAGTTATTTCCTCGGCAACCATTTCACCGCAGCAGCTTGATAATTTCAATTTGTCTCAATAAAGAACTAAATAGTGATTGATTATCCAGAAAACTAGGATAACAATTGTCTCGTTATTTCACTTTTTTTTTCTTCATATCAATGTTACTTTTCTTGTTAGTGACTATTACTAATATCCACATGCAAGGCCTACGGTGCATCCAAACCCTAAAGTTCAATGTTCAAATTAACAAAATAGTTTCTACCAAACTCCAACCTGATCTGATCTCACAAAATCAACCTAGAACTGGAACCCAGATTCATTACGTTATAAAAAAGACACCGCAATCAAGAATAAAAGAATCAATAAATAAACAAAAATATTTTAAATAGAAAATTAATCAGCAACCAAAGACAACCACGAAATTTCATGAGATAGAGAAAAAAAAATGGACGGCGTGCCAACCTTGAGCATTTAGGATCGTGGTTGTGACAATTAATAACACGAAAAATTCGAGGAATTAGGGTCAGAGATTGGAAGAGTGTGACTTACAGGGAAGAGCTCGATGATAAGTAGAAACAGTAACGACAAGATTGTTCCAGAATAGCTGCTGTGGGGACGAGGCCTTGTCTTCCGACGTCGTCTTGTCTTATATATCCGTAGAAAAAGAGAACGCGGGATGTGGAAAATTAGAGCACGTTTATTCTGATTTTTAAAAAAAGTTTTTAAAAATAAAAATACATTTATTTTTAGGTTTTTTAAAAAAAACCTTTTTAAAAAATTAAAACAAATATATTCTTAAAAAATGAATTTTCATTTTAACAAAATTATTTTTCAGTTATATAGGCAGATATATGATTTTTTTTATCCACATGTTTAAGGTGAAATTTAATAATTAATAAATAAACAAATTTAAAAATAACATTATTGAATTTTAGAATATTTTTAAATTATTTGAGTATAATTCTAACATAATAATTAAATTAATGTCTTAAAGCAAAATAAACACAAAGAGTAGAAGTGAAATGAAGTAATATTGACATAAAGTAATAAAAAAATTAAATGAAGAAATAGAATTTAATTGAATTACAAAAATGTATACATGTAACTTTCCATCACAATTAACACAATTTCGTCGATCTCTAGTGCATGGAACTTTTGGCTTAAGAGAGATCTACGGTACAACGTGTAAAAATCATAATCTCTTAATCATAAAACAAAGTCCTATTTATAAATAATTTTTTTTAACTACTATTCGCATGTGAACTTATTTTGTAAATCTTTTTTTATACTTTTTTTTTGTAATTATTATTAATTTTTCATATAATTTTTTTTATGTATCTTAATCTTTCATTGGTGACAATCATCGATAACTTATGTTTTTCATAATTATCACTATTTTTCACATATTATTGATCTTTTATTAGTGACAATCATTGATAATTGTTAATAACTATTTTTAAAATATTTTTATATTTTTTTGAGATATTTTTGTATTTGTCACTATTTTTTGCATAATTTTTTTCATGTGTTTTTTGCTAGTGACAATCATTGATAATTAATAATATCTGCTTTTAAAAGACCTCTCATATCTTTTCAAGATATTTTTTTATTTTCTGTATCTTTTTTATTTCTTAGACTTGAAACGTTTCAACTTCCTTTTAAAGTGCATTCCTTTTTTTGACCCATTTTTATAAAATCAAGTCAAGACACTTGTTTTTTTATCTATTTTAATTTCCTAACTTGTATTACAAAACCTATTAAAAACTCTTCAACATATTACCTTTTCACCAATAAATATGTTCTTCTATCCACTCTTATAAAAACTTTGAAATTTAATCTTTTCAAATAAACTTCATATATTTTTTGGTTTTTTTATATTTGATAGAAATTAATTAAAAAGTAGGACTTTAAGATCATATCAATTTTAGTTAAAATATTTTATTTCAGCAACAATATTTTGTAACTTAAGAAAAATTTTTTTTTTCAAAAGTTTGCAAATAAATTATTAAGCAATTGAACCACATATTTTTAGATTCAATAAAAATCTTTTTATATTTTTTAATTTAAGATAAGACAAGTATTCATTAACAATATTTAAGTAAGTTAATATAAGTTATTTAATTCAATTGAAAAGATCCTTCATGTATTACAATAACTTAAAAAATTTATTAGTTAATATTAACAATACATTGTTGTATTCTAGTGTGATAGATAAATTTTTTTAACTCATATTAATATTGAGTTTAATTTCATTGTTTTTTTAAATTTCTAAATTTTTTTTGTTATTTTGAACTTCTAAAAAAACGTTTCTTTAATTGCAGTTTAATATTAGTTTACAACATGCATATATTTAAATTATCTAAATGTTGTTACTTCCAAACTAAATAATGATATTATTTTTGTTGGTGTATTATGTTTTTTTTAATATATATCTTTTGGTTGTTATTTTAATAAATTTAGTGGTTCTTTTTTTTAGGGATTTTTTTTGTTATCAAAAGTTTTTGAATCATGGCTACAGTGCATTTTATTTTGTTGGTATACCTATGTAAGTGCTTTAGTTATTTTGAATAAAGGAACCCATGTTATATCTTTCTAGTTTATTGCTATTCTTTCAATGTTATCAAAGTTTTTAAGAGTAGCAGTAAAAGACAGCGGTCTAAGTTCCACCAACGACTTCTGACAAATTTGTACAACCAACCATTCCACAATTTGATGGCCACTATGACTATTGGAGCATGCTGATGGAAAAGGTCCAAGGAAAATTAGTAAGTTATTGAAGATGGTGTACTCACATCAGAAGATGATGTTGTTCTTACTAATGCACAACAAAAAGAGATTGATGAGTTGAAATTGAAAGGTTTGAGAGCCAAAAATTATTTATTTCAGGCCATTAATTGATCTATCTTGGAAACTATTCTTTGCAAAGATACTTCTAAGAATTTTTGGCATTCAATGAAAAAAAAATATCAAGACTCTGCAAAAGTCAAATGTGCTTAGCTTCAAGCTTTGAGAAGAGATTTTGAAATTCTTCAAATGAAAGAAAGTGAATTTGTCACCGATTACTGTGCAAGGGCCATGACAATTGCTAACAATATGCAATTTTATGGTGAGAAAATGGAAGATATAGCCATTGTTGAAAAAATTATGCGCTCACTCACACCAAATTTTGATTATGTGGTATGTTCAATTGAGGAATCTAATGACATTAATGAACTCTCCCTTGATGAGCTTCAAAGCTCTTTGCTTGTTCATGAACAAAAGATAAACAAAAGTTCAATAGTGGAGAAACAAGTATTGAAGGCTTCTACCAATACTCATTCCAATAACTCTAGAAGAAGGAGTAAGGTAGAGGTAGAGGAAAAAGATGTGGAGGTTGAGGAAATTGAGATTCCAATAAGAACTCTACATCTAATAACAACCAAAATCACCAATCACGAGACAAAGGCAGAGGAAAGAATCATGATAAGTCCAAGGTAGAGTGCTTTAGATATCATAAACTTGGCCACTATGCCTTTAAATATTACTATAGACTACCTGTTTATAGAGAAAAGGGAGAGAGTTCAAATTTCATTGAGAAGAATGAAGTGAAAACCTTGTTGATTACGGTAGAAAATGAATAGAACAATGAGCAAGGAATATGGTATGTGGACATAGGCTGTAACAACCACATGAGTGGAAGTAAGTTCTTTTTCTCATACTTAGATAAAGATTTTCATTCTACTATAAGCTTTGGTGATAGCTCTACTATGAAAGTAATGAGAAAAGGTGATATAAGAATAAAAACAAAGAATGGTTTTGTTGAAATAATTTTCAATGTAATGTATGTTCATGATCTAAAAAGTAATTTCTTAAGTGCTGGGCAATTACTGGAAAAAAGGTTATGTGATTACCATTGACAAAGGATCTTGTGACATTTGAGATCTGTTTGAGGTTCCATTGTAGTTGTACAAATAAGCTCAAATAGACTATTTTTGTTGAAGATTGAAAGCATTCCATCTGGTTTGATGGCTAAAGTTATAGATTTTACTTGGTTGTGGCATTATCGTTATGGCCACTTGAGTTTTGGTGGATTAAAGAACCTTTAACAAAAGGATATGGTGATAGGTCCTCCACAATTCACGACTCCCTCTCAAGTATGTGAAGAATGTGTTGTTAGCAAACAACACCATTCTCAATTTCCTAATGGCAAGTCATAGAGAGAAAAATGTATTTTGGAGCTGGTCCATTCAGATATTTGTGGTCCCATAGAACCATGTTCTAATGGAGATAAAAGATACTTAATTATTTTTATTGACGATTTTTCTAAGAAAACTGAGTCTATTTTTTGCAAGAAAAACAAAAGCTTTCTTTACATTTAAAAGCTCAAGCAGAAAATGAATTAGGAAAAGATATTAAGTCCTTTAAGATATTAAGTCCTTTCAAACAGACTATAGTGGAGAGTACTATTCAAATAATTTTTTTTGTATTTTGTGAAAAACATGGGATTCGGAAGGAGCTAACAACAACATATACACCACAACAAAATGGTGTATCAGAGAAGAAAAATAGAACCATTCTCCACATGTCTTGATCTTTTGCTGGTGACAATTATTGATAACTGGTCAACTGCTAATAACTACTTTTAAAAGATTTCTAATATATTTTTAACATATTTTTGTAACTATCACTATTTTGTCATATATAATTTTTTCCACATGTCTTAATCTTTTGCTTATGACAATAATTAATAATTACTTTTAAAAGACATCTGGTATCTTTTTTAGATATTTTTTTTGTTCCCTTTATCTTTCTTTTTTAGACTTGAAACATTTCAACTTCCTTTTGAAGTGCATTCCTTTTCAACCTATTTTTTTAAAATCATGTCAAAATATTTATTTGTTTAACCTACTTTAATTTTTTAACTTGTATTACAAAACCTATTAAAAATTCTTCAAAATATTACCTTTTCACCCATAAATATGTTTTTCTATCCAGTTTTATAAAAACTTTAAAATTTAAACTTTTCAACTAAACTTCATGTTTTTTTTTTTAATTTTTTAATATTTGGTAGAATTTAATAAAAATATAGGACCTTAAGATCATATTAAGTTTAGTTAAAATATTTTATTTCAGCAATAATGTTTTATAACTTAAGAATTTTTTTAAAATAATATATCAAAGTTTGCAAATAATTTATTAAGCAATTAAACCACATCTACTTACATTCAATAATTTTTCTTTTATCTTTTAATTCAAGATAGGGGCAAGTATTCGTTAACAGTATTTAAGTCAGTTAGTATAAGTTAAATGTAAATTGTCATATATTGCATTTAATTCAATTAAAAAGATTCTTCATGTACAATAGTAACTTAAAAAATTTATTAGTTAATATTAATAATACTGTATTCCAGTACGATAGATAAAGAATTTTAATTATTATTAATATTAAGTTAAATTTCATTGTTCTTTTAAATTTTTTAATTTTTTTGTGCTATTTTGAACTTCTCAAAAAAAAAAAAAAAGGTTTCTTTAATCATAGTTTAACATTAGTTTACAACAACATGCATATATTTAAATTATGTAGATGTTGTTACCTCCATACTAAACAATGATATTGTTCTTTCGACCTCAAATTATATGAGTAAATTAATTACTCGCTGCACGTTCCTACAAACTTTTATTTTATTTGAGTGTGAGAAGAAATAGAAAGATATTTAAAAAACTTGTAACGTAAAAATATTTGTGCTTTGTCATTAGACTTGAACATAAATGCATGTGTATAATTTTCCAATGCTTTTGTAGTTGTTGAAATGGATTATCATGGACACGAAGTTCAGTCATTTTCACTTGTTTAGAGAGAGAGAAAAAATAGTGCCAATAACTTTTTAATATTAATTCAAATGTTATAATTAAATTAAAAGTTTTATTAACTTTATTTTTTAAGATCGAAGATAATCAGTTCATAATAATAAAAATTTATTAAAAAGAGAAATATTTATTATATTTTATATAATAATTATATATTTTTTTTATAATTTTTTTTTTGTTGTAGATACTTAAACTTAGTGTTAAGAACTGATATTAATAAAATTTTTAAATTAATTAATTTACAAATTAATTAAAATAAACTTTTTTTTATTAATTTTTCACTGGTGGCCACGTGAAACCGATGGAAAGGTATTAATTGCTTACATGAAATCAATCATTAATGTAATTTTTATGAAACACATGTAATTAAAAAAAAAATGTTAGTAACACATTTTCTTATACATTATTTTACATACTTTCTATTATTAGCTAAAATTAAAAAATACAAATGAACTAATTTAAAAATAAAAATAAGTAACATTTTACTAATATTTTCCAATTATGAATATCTTCTAAACAAACAAAGACATTCCTTTTCAATAATGTCGAACCCCTCAGCTATTAACATAGCTGCTGGTACCAACCTATGATGATGATGATCATCTTTATTGGCCCGACCAATAACCACATACGCACATAGAGAACCTTTGCGTGCTCATTTCAAGTGCTATTAGCCATACCATGCACACATTTAAATATATTTGCCATCACAATTTTGTGAGCATAATTAGGCACACCCATTTGGGAAAACCAAGAAACATCGGTTGTTTCTTGCATCAATTCGTCTTTTGAGATATTTGGAAAATTATGACGGGTAGTATGACAACAAGAGTGGAAATTCCTAGCATTCAAAACTTATATCCGTGTACTCAGCCTTTGTATTGGAGTATTGATCATCAGTGCACAGTGGAATTAATTTATGAGACCATGGACTCAGTGAAACAAAAATTATTGTTGACCCAATCTAAAAGAAATTAGTAAGAAGAAAATAACAAGTGTGAAGGATCATGAGTGAGAAAAAGATGGAACAAGAAGAGAGTTTTAAATTTATTACTTTATTAAAAATGTAGTATTTTATTATAATAAATAAATATTTATTAAAATAAAATAATATCTCACATTTTTATTTCAACAAACTTAAAATAAAATAAAATAAAACAAAAATTAATTAAAATAAATTTAACTCCAATAAAGTTTTGAAATAATTAAAAGCCATCCACCATCAATGACATAAGTATTGGGTCCATTGGCCCCAAGAACCAAACAACGAGACAAAATATATAATAAAACACTAATATATCCCAAACACAAATTTGGAGCCATTTGGAACAGAACATAACAATGCTTCTCATAAAATTGTCTTTTACGCTCGTTGTAAGCGTGTTTCTGTCTTTTGCATATTATTTAAGCTGTAAGGAAGGAAGACCGCGCTTTCGCAGGTCAATAATGGCGATTCCCGATTCCCATTTTAGCTGGAAAAAAAAAAAAACGAAGAACATGTTCATAACGATGGAAAAACGATTATTAAAACGTGATTCTTCAGATGCTCTTGAAGTGTCACGAGCAGGTTTCAGAGTGATCGTTTTTTTTATTTACTTCCCGCTCTCATCACTTCTCACTTCACTCCTAACTTCACTTCCGGTTCCATGGATCGCTTTTGCTCAAACCTCGAAGACGATTCACCATCCTCTTCCAATGTCTATTGGCTCCTCTTCCAAGTCCTCTCTCTCATTCCTCTCTGGCATTACCTTCTCTTCGCCGTTTTTATTCTCCTTTCATTTCTCTACAATTTCCTCGAACTCCATTTCCTCGAAAATCTCTTCTCTGGATTCTCAGGCTCCCCTGTTTCTCTCACCTACAACCACTCCTCTAAAATCCACGAAGCCGTTGTTTCGAAATGTAAGATACTTCATGGAAGGTACTTTGCGACGCCGTGGCTTTGCAGTCCTCATCTTCAGACTCTTTTCTTGAACTACTTCGGGAGGCCTCCTATTTTCAAATACACAAGGTCATCATCAATATTTCACGTTTTTCCTCATTTTCTAATACAATAATAAATTAGTCATAATTTAATTTCTATTTTCTTTCAGACAAATATTTAGGACTCAAGATGGTGGAACCATTGCTTTGGATTGGCTGTCGAGTTCTGATGGTATATATAAGATCATGCATACTTAATTTATTTGGCATTGGATGTCGAATTAGGAAGCCTCTGGGTCTGGCTTAGTACACGAACAATTTCGAGGTCCATGTTTTATTTATTCTTTTGTGTCTTATTATTTTACAGTTTCTGGTGGTGCTTGTCATCTGGATGATGTTGCTTCTAAAGATGAATCTACTCCAATTGTTGTAGTAATTCCTGGTCTTACAAGTGACTCTTCTTCTGCTGTAAGTGTTTCTGTTTATGGTTTGTCTAATTATGTCATAGAATTAACTATTAGTAATTTAACTGTAATTAGTAATGTTAGTTGCTTGCTTGAGAGTTGTCATTGATTGATCTGTTGTAACTAGTTTTTTTTCTTCTTTTTGCCATTTTTAAAAGAAATTTGGAAATGAAATTGTCTTTCAAGGAAGGAAAGAAAGAAAAGATTGAAGCAACAATTGTTTCTTGTCTTCATAATTGTATAGTATCAGCTTAAAATACCTAGTTCAGTGGCCAGGTACAGAACCGTTATATTTGAGTAAGGATTTTGGCGCTAAACTGTTCTTCCAAGAGCACAATCTAACTGGCAGTGCCAAGAGTAATATCATGTTGAGTGTTGATATTTGAAAGGAAAGATTGTTTCCCTTGATAATACTAGTTGTCAGAACGAGCGCAGTGCATTATACACTATTGTGATATTGTTTTATTATTTTGTTAGACTTCAATTTTGCTTGATGTTCCTGTACGAAATGTTTATTAATTTACAAATTATAATTTGTTTTTGGTTTGAAGATTTGTTATATTGTATTGGGATCTTAGAGTTTTTTGTTTTTCTCTTTTTCTTCCCCTCTCATCTTGATAGTATATCAAGCATTTTGCTTATCATACAACAAAGCGTGGATGGAAAGTTGTTATCTGTAACCACCGAGGATTCGGAGGTGTTCCAATCACGGTTAGTTTTTCCGCAAGCTTATTAACATTTTGTATTGTTAATATGTATAAAGACTAAAGACTGATCACGTGTATATTGTACTTGCCCACAAGTATCCAAATCAAACCAAAACTTTCAATTATTTGGCGAAGACCTAGTTTGGTTATATATCTCTAATATATTTTTTGATTGCCATCTCGTCAATCAATTCGAAAATGAATAGGTTAAGTAATCTCATTGGATACACTAAGCTTGCCAATCTCTTTGTATGTCAAGAGAAAAAGTTTTGGAAATATCGTTGGTTGGATTCATAAATAGGTAGGCTTGGATTTCTTTCTTTCTTTCTTTTTTATTTTTCATAATCTTCTCTGCTGGAAGTAATTCTATCCGTGACATGGTTGAATGGACATAAAAATGTAGTTGTAGCCTTGGAAGGTCTATATAGTTTTATTAAAAATTTTGCATTTTCCTTAAAAATAAGAAATAAAATAAAAATAATTTAACATTTTTGTAAATTTTAGTAAAATCTGAGAGTGAAAATAAAAACCAAAATTTCTAATTAAACAAGTTGAGTGTTTTGAATGCAACTTAAATTTTTAGTGGTCCTACATTCGAGTCTAGATAGGGTGAGTTAAAAGCAAAAATTTACAGAGGTCCTAAAGAAACGTGCGAAAGGCGGCAGTTGACAAATGTTATTGAAAATCTTGACGTTGCTTCTTTTATGAATGTTAGGATTATTGTGCATCTCAACACAGATTTCGTGTTGCAGTGTAACAGTTTTCTTGTTTTCTTTTCCTTGTAATATTATTTTATTTTTAAAACCATTTCAGTCTAATTTTTCCTACAATGCTGGATGGACTGAGGATGTCCGCACAGTGGTCAATTATCTCCACAAAGAGAAATCCGGGGCACCTTTGTTTCTTGTTGGAACTAGTATTGGAGCTAATATTCTGGTATGTTTGTGGCCTGTGTTTTATGCATTGCTTACTCGAATTACTTAATTTTCAGGCTTGCGTCTTAGGGTCTGGATGTTCATATATGTATTTCTTTATTTATTTTAATTCGGTGAATTGTACCATCATTTAAACGTGTATTTCACAAAAAATATTGGTTATTTCTCATAAACAGCTTCTCCCCTTGTCCCTGTAAAGAACTTTTGGAAAATATAATTAAAAATACTAATGTTAGAACAATATCATTTGGTTTCGGAACTGCATGTTTTTGGTAAATTTTAACTACTGTGTTAATGGCTTGATGTCGTAATTTGTTGTACTAACACTTATTGTCGTTGGTACATCTTTTATCTGCTTTTAATACTACAGCAAATTTGCACAATTATGTGTATAAATTTTTTTTTTTGCACAATTATGAACCTATTCTCAAATTCGCAGAGCTTGGTTTTAGCGCTGCATTGTTTGATTCGAAAGCTTGTTGGCAGGTAAAATATCTTGGTGAGGATGGTGAGAATATTCCTGTAGCTGGAGCTGTTGCTGTTTGCTCTCCTTGGGACCTTATGGTTAGTATTTTGATTTTACAACTTTCTTTAACTTTTATGTTTGAAATGGTTTTGGATAATGTACCTTGGGTTACTACAGTATGTCATATCTGTATTTGGACCCAGTTTAATTGTCTGTGGTTCTTGTTGAAGAAACGAAATTAATTTTGTATGCACTTGAAAATAATAGAATTTGAATGAAATAATCAAAATTATTTTGAAAATTCAACGGTAAGTTCTAAATTTAGCATTGCCTTAAATATTGGACGGGTCATAGGTGAAGAAAATGAAAGACTGAGTTATCCATCCATAAGTGTGACATACAAGAAATATTTGTTTTTGTTCAAAATTAATATAAACTGTTTGACATAATGATTTGGAGTTTTAAGGTTTTATTGTGTTTAACTTCCAATTCAATATTCCTGCGCTTTGTCGTTTGCAGTTAGGGGACAGATTTATTCGTCGTAGGCGTGTGCAGAAACTTTATGATAGTGCGCTTGCCGTTGGACTTCAAGATTATGCAAAATTGTATGTCTATATCTCTTTGGTTCAACTTAAATATCTTGTTTATCTGCTCGATATTTCTTGCGTTACAGTATTCAATGCAAACAGCGATGGAAAGTTAATTTTATCTATTGTTGGTGATTTGACCTAATTTCATATTTTTACCATTATTCATTGCAGGCACCAGCCTCACTTCTCTCGCAATGCTAATTGGGAAGGGATAGAAAAGGTATAATTTAATTTTCACTACTACTATCAGTGTAATATGCAACTCATGGGGTTATTCTACATTTTCTGTGATATGGATCTGTTTAGTTAGTTGATGTTATTCTATTCTTTGTTGTACATTTTTGTTTTTATTTTCTAATGGTAAAATAAAACTTCGAATTTGTTGTGGTATCAATAGGAAGTGAGGAAAATGCATGAAGGGTTATTGACCTCGCACTTGCAAATGTCATTTATTTTGTTCCTTCTCTTAATTGCAATATTTTTATGGTGGTAATGTATAGATTTTACGAGTTAAGGCTAAAGCTTTTCAAGTGATTGGAAGATGTATTTGGTTTAAGACGCTAAATGCTTGCTACCAGTTTAGTTTTCTGGCCACAACTTTCTCTTCGCTTATTATTCTATTTAGTACAAGGTTCTTATATGTTAAGTTTCCCGTGTTTTTTTTTAATTTGAGTTTTAACCAATCATGTGTGAATGTATGTGTTTGTGCTTTGTAGTCACTTTCTGTTCGAGATTTTGATGACCATGCAACCCGCATTGTTGGGAAATATGAGGTACTTACGTATCCCTTAAATTTTTAGTCTTCTATTTCCTTCTCTCAACTCCTGTTCTACCTATTTTTATCGATTAACTAATGTCTTTTTGTTTCCTTAGTCTGTTGATACGTACTATAGACGCTGCAGCAGTTCTGCTTATGTGCAATCTGTTTCGATTCCGCTTCTATGTATTACTGCTCTGGATGATCCAATCTGTACTACGGAAGCCATTCCCTGGGACGAATGCAAGTACGGCACTTTATTGTTTTCTTGGTTCTATTTAATTCTCTTTCTTTTGCATTATCTCAGCATCAATTTTAATGTACTAATCTTTTTATAGGGCAAATAAAAATATAGTGTTAGCTACTGTAAATCATGGAGGACATCTGGCGTTCTATGAAGGGATAACTGCGTCTGGGCTGTGGTAACAAGTCATTTTGTACATCTGACATTTCAGCATTTTCTTTCATTCAAAAACCATATGCATTTAGCTGTCCTATTATTGCAATTTTTTTGTTGGGATTGGGGGATATTCTTTGATTGGTTCAAGTTGCAATAGCATGCATGCATGGCATCTCCTAATTTTGAATCAGGCAGCCACTTTTATAATAAAATTGAAGGGCAATATTACTTTCTCTTGCAGGTGGGTAAGGGCTGCTAATGAATTCCTTGGGATAATACACAGCAGCAATTATATGCATGTACCAAAAAAGGTAAAAATATGCTACTATATTTGGTTATTTTGGCCAAGGACTCGTTTATATTCATTCTCTGTGGTTCTGTAATATTTGAAATTGCCACTTGTTTTGGTTTTCTAAACATTTGTAATTTGGGATGTGGTTGACTGGATTCTCTCTTGTGGTAATTTCACATGATAAGGTCACGTGCATGTTTTGTGTCTATTTCTCTGATCTCGTGATTAATATTAAATAAGTTGGACCATGCATATCAAAAATTAATAAGCAGATCTGGGTACAAAATTTGAACATGACTCAACATGTCATGTGAGAAGATCTTCTCCCGACGTAGACTAATTTGTCTTTACTTGGGAAATTAAGCAGAGCAACTTTGTTGGCTGAACATGCTGTTTTCTCTGTTAACGGGGATGCAGATTTCTAAACCAAATGGACCATTGGACTTGTCAATTGATCGGGGCCCTTATGTTAATGTTACTGAAGGTGGAATGGTAGCTGCATTGAACAGTGACCCTCCGACAGACAATGTGGAAGATACACATGTAATCCAGGATGCACATCATGACAGTCATGAATGAGTTCCAACAGAAACTCTTAATGAACAAGATGAGCTTGTGACTAACTCATGCTTATAATGCGGTGAATCCTATCGTTTTGGACAAACAGTCAGCGTGTGTTTGGATGGCATCAAATCCACCCAAGCATGAATGCATTTAAATGCTACATGTTATATTTTTTTCGTTAATACATGATTTTGTTCAAACACGTGCTTAGTTCCAACAATGTAGCTCATCTTGATTTATAAGATACTATAAGACAGTATAGCTTGAGTAAGAACAAAGATCTATTACAGTTCATTTTAACTGTAAAATTTTTTCATCTTTTTAAATTTTTTTTATATGAATGTTGAAAATGATGTACCGGATGCGGGCTATTGAATGTTAAGGTGCTTCACGTGCAATTATTATTTTAAGGTGCACGCAATCCAAGTTTTGAGTTTGGCCTACTTTGTTTTATTTACTGTAGAGGTGATAGACAGGTTTTGAAATTCGCTGCAGCTTTCTAAAAGCGTTTTAATATCTTTTTCGGGGCTTTACCCTCATTTAAAATACGAGTGCTTGCGTTTAGTGCTAACAGATGGAGTTGGGCGAGGTTTACTTTTTTCCCCCCTTTTGTTTTGATAGAACTATAGTATGTATTTTTTTTATTGGATTCTCAGCTGTGTAACAAAAAAATTATTGGAGAAACATTTATTTTAGTGATTCTTCGTTTTGAAAGAATTCTTGGACGATAGCTTGGAAAATATTCCAACACAAGATAATAAATAAATATACTGTGATATTTTTTAATTTGTTTGTTTATAATTTTGTTAAATAGAAAAGATTACTGAAAAAAGTGATTTAATAATTTTCAAAGAAGATCTTTGAAGTCGCTCTTATAAAAAAAGGTTATAGAAGAGACTTTTTAATTGATAAATTTTTAAAAATTTATTTTTTATCAAGTTTAAGACGTTGGGTGATTCATGTACCTGAAGAAGTAATTAAGATAAAATTTAATTGTTAGATTAAAAATTGAAGAAGTAATTATATTTTTGATTTAGCTATCAATGTATATCACATTTTCAATAAAATTATGATTAAATATTTTTTAAACATAACTTTATCTTTTTACTATTAATTTTTGGAAATTATAATAAATTAAGTCAAAAGAATATTTTATAAAATTGCGTTTGGCAAGTGATTTAACCGGGCTTGATTGTCTACATACGTGTTTGAAGGAGGCGACTTCCATTTCCCATTTTCCCCCAAAAGAGTTGTATGTCGTTGAGCAAACGAGGTTACATATAAATAATTATAGAAAGAGAAATGATAATAAAATGACGATGATGCGGATGCGAATGCGAAGGATGGATGATTGGAACTTGGAAGGGAGAGGAATGGGTCACGTGGAGCTTTCACATTAGAAGCTGAAATCACGTTTTCTCCATTCTCACAACACCGTAGTCTCCGTCACAACATTCCCAAACTCCGCCATCATGGATTGGGATTGCTCGAACCTCGCACGCGATGCGCCGTGTGGCTACTGCCTCCTTCTTCAAGCTCTCTCTCTCATTCCTATTTGGCATTACTTTGTCGCTGCATCCTTTGTTCTCACCTTCTTCCTCTACAATTTCCTCGAACTCCATTTCTTCGAAGACTTCTTCTCCTTCTTCTCTGGCGCCCCCGTCGTTTTAACCTACAATTCCACCTCTCAGTTCTACGACGCCATCGTTTCCAAATGCAAGATTCTCCACGCCACCTATGTCGCCACTCCATGGCTTTCCAGTCCTCATCTTCAGACCGTTTTCTTGAACTTTTTCGGTAGACCTCCTCTTTTTAAATATAGAAGGTAATCAGTCAAATCGCGTTTCTCCCTCTCGATTGATTCATTGATTCAATTGTTAGCTATTGATGATGCTATGCGTTTGATGTTGAAATTATTAATAATGCTAAGCTAAGGTATATGTTCATCTAATCTAATAACTGTTCATATGTTCTCTTTCAGACAACTGTTTAGTACTCCTGATGGCGGAACCATTGCTTTGGACTGGCTGACGAGTTCTGATGGTATATCTAAAATGTTCAAATGTTCAAATTTTCAATTTGTATTTTGAAATATCAAATTACAAAACCTCTAGCCTATTATTTACATACACAATTCTAAGGTTGATCTTATGTGTATGACCATGTCACAGTTTCTGGTGGTGCTCTCCATATGGACCGTGTTGATTCTAAAGATGAATCTACTCCCATTATTGTAGTGATTCCTGGTCTAACAAGTGACTCTTCATCCGCTGTAAGTTATGTTATGTTTCTGTTTATGTGTATGCTTAGTTATTTTTCTTGCTATCCAACATTTTGGGAATTTGGAAAAACCACATACTTTTCCCCATCTTGTTGATGGTTACTTAAGTTCTAGGGCGGGGCTTGTAAACTTCCTAGCCTAGTGGCTTGGGACATGTAAGTTATGCCAAAGGCTTACTTTGCGTTACTGTTATTGTTGTGTACAGACATACTAGAAGGATTAGGAATAAATGTATTAGGCAAAAAGTTAGGGTAATTCCTATTGTAGAAAAGATGGTAGAATCTCTCCTTAGGTGGAGAAGACCTGTACAAGTCCTAAAAAGGAGAGTAGGTTAGATGCCAGAAAAATAGTCCAGTGGCATGATTTATGATAGAAAATTGTGGCATCGTTTGATCAGGGTAATTGACCCCACCTTGGAAGAAAAGGTATGGTTGTTGTTGTTGTTGTTGTTAGTTTTTCAACAATTTAGGGCCCATTTGTTTAAGAGTTTGGTAGAATTGGTTTTGAAAAAATTAATTTTGAACTGTTGAACTAATTAAGATATGTGTTCAAATTAATCTTAACCAAAAATTTTTCATTGAGAATGTATGCCACAGTGGGATGAATTGATTCTCTTTGTTTGCTGAAAAGGCTCTTAATGGGCAACTTCTATACAATATACATATTTTTATGTTGTTTTGCATGATTTCATGATAACTTCATCTAATCAGACACGAAACTGTTTACTGTACTTTCTGATACATGCTAACAGGACTTTACTCTCATTGTACATTGATTTGGTGTTTAGTTGAGATTCTTCAATTTTATCAAATTCAGAATACATGTTTCACCTTTGTAGTGTTTGTATAATACTTACTGAGAAAACACACAAAATTGCACCACATACTAAAGTCCTCCTGATTCCTGAAAAGCCCTGGTCTGCATTAAGTTTTTACCAAGTGGAAGTGTGCTGGGAGCATTATCAATATGAAGTTGACTTTTGATGGTTGCTTGAGGTATTATGTTAGAAAGGAAGATTTTTTCCAGAACTGTACCAGTTGTCAAAATGAAGAAAGTGTATTGGACCCTTGTTTTTATTTATTTATTCTGTTAAACATAAAGTATACAAGATTTTCCATTGTACTCTTCTGAAATGTTTATTAACTTTAATTTTTCACTTTTTTTTTGGCTCACTAGTTTTGTTTATATTATAGTGTCATCTTACCGGTTTATTTTTTCTTTTCCTCCCATCTTGGTAGTATCTCAAACATCTTGCATATCATACAGCAAAGCGTGGGTGGAAAGTTGTTATCAGTAATCACCGAGGACTTGGAGGTGTTTCAATCACGGTTAGTTTTCTGCCAGATGGAAATATATTGATTAACGAGTTTGATATATTTTCAAGCTTGGCTTCCTACTAATTAATTACTACTACCAATATTAAAATGTAAGTTTAGCTAATAGGTTGGCTAAGTAAGCTCATTAGATAATTATGAATCACTAACTCCGACATGGACAAGACACTAGGACACGGCAGATGTTTAAAATATAGGACACTGAGACACCGCTTATATATATATCTATATATATATATATATATATATATATATATATATGGAGTAAAATTTTCTTATACTAGTGTAAGTCTAAAAACTCTTACACTCGATTTGAGTCTTTTATTTAACTTAAATCTAATGAGTTATAATTTATTACTTCACTGACCGTTAAATGAATGATTTAAATCGAGTTTAAATTTTTTTAAATTTATACTAGTGTGAGAAAATCCTTTCCTCTCTTTCTCTCTCTCTCTCTCTATATATATATATATATATATATATATATATATATTGCTAAAAGTCTCAGATACTTGTATATATATAAAAATTTAAATATGATTAACATGACAAAAATTTAAATTTGTTTATTCATCTTCTTAAGACAAAGTTGTTAGACTTTATAATTTTTGTATAATACCCTAATAAAAGCAAGAATTTTGTTTCTTTACAAAAAGAAAATTCCAAAATAAAAAGATGATTCAAATATCTTAGAACAAGTTGTAAGTCCTATGGTAATTATTAATAACGAGCCTCACCAAAGAAGGTTAAGAGGCATTATTTCGCTCTGTCTCTAAACAAAAAAGATTTAATTTAGGGGTGGTGACCTCCTTGATCATTATCACTAAAAAAATATAGTCTCTAACTTTGGTTCATTTAGTTACAAATTAGCAATTTAAGCATTCCATCCTTATTTAGTGATCCAAATGCATTTCCTACTATATTTTACATTTTTGTTTTCTATTGATCATATTGGAAAGAATTTCTTGAAAGAAGATAAAAGTTTCTATGAACAAATACTTGATTTTACTTCCTATATGATGTCATCTTGTTTCTTTTCATACATTGAATAAAAAAGTAGATGATTCATTTTTTTTTCACAACATGAAAAAAAATATGTTTGTTAGAGTAGTTTAAGAGAAACCTTTTGAACTATTAGAGTATGAACACCATGAATAAGTCACCAAGATTTTGCATTCATCTTACCCGACCTTGTCATTTAAAGAATCAATGTCATCAAAAGAAAAGTTTGTAAACTCTATATTCACTTGTCTCCTCATATCTATATTAACAAAGTATCTTTTGAAGTATTTCATCATTTCATGAGTAAGTTTCATATCTTGATATGGAGTAATTTTATTAGAATATTTATTTAGTTATTCATGACTACAATACATACAATATAAAAAAAAAAATATAATAATTTGTAGAAATGTAACTAAGAATTTTAAACATTGAAAATATTATTTAAGAATATAATTTATTATCTTAGGTTTTAAAAATGAACCAAACAATGGAGAGGTCTACTACTTTTTGTCCAAAGTTCAGTTAATATGGAGTTCACAACATTATAGAAACTTGATTCTTTACTTTTCACCTTTCTTTCATATTGATATATGACTTTTTTTACTTTTTTAATTATTGAGTCTCACATTTTATACATTAAATGAAGAGATGAAGCTTTTGTATCCATTTTTCTGAGAATATCATAGATGTGACTAGTGAAAGAAAGATATAATCAATCTTGTTCCACCAAACATCATCTAATAAGGTATCTTTCACAAATTTAGCTTTTTTAACATCATTTTCCTTGTAAGAAGACAATGATTGCTAATAACTATATCTTAGAGTCTTTTTTCCAATTGCTTAAATCTCTTGAACATTACTATAGTAGAGACAGCAATGGAAAACAATTTTAATGAGTTAAAAATAGATGATCTCATAAAGTGACCCATAATAAAGCTTTTTTATGAACTTGTCATCTTTTGCTATTTTTGTGATAAAAAAACACTCTTGATAAACAATTTTTTTTTTTTTTTTTTGTATTTTTAGTTACACATATATTTTTTAAAACAAGATTTAGAGTGTACAAAATACAAGGAGTTTAATAAATAGAAAGAAAATCAGCCTTAATTATTAAACTCACTATCTTATATAAAGATGCATTATTAGTCACAATTTGCATAATATTTGAAGGTCCAACTTCCATAATTACATCTCTCATTTGTTTGTATATAAATTCTTTGTTTTTAATTCCATTAAAACATTCTATAGTTTTTGAAAACATGGGTTCACTCTTTGTAACAGTCATGAAACTGATAAGTCTTCTTTGGGGAATCACTTCACCCATTACTGACAATGCTAATACCTTTTTGACTTTATGTCTTTTTTATTGGCTCCAATAGCCTCTTACATGTCTTCTTTTATTTTAAAGCAAACTTGTTCTTAACTTATTATAATCTAAAGGCTGATATCCATTTTTATAATTATTGGCAGCAAAAGAAAAAATCTCTTATAATACAGTTTTCTTGTTAAATGAAAAGATAATTCTGATGAGTAAAACATTCTAGTAATTTCATAGTCTAATGCCTCTCTAGCTTGCATATTGAAAACTTTTTTTAGTGGTCTAGATGTTTTCTTCTTTTTGATATCAACATTGTCATTGGTGTCTATAGGTGATTCATTAAAAACCAAAGGCAAATTGGACAAATTTTGCTTTTGACGTCTCTATTTTCAATGTAGCTTTATTGTCTATCTTTTTTAATTCAATAACCTTTGAGGTTAAGTCACAAATATTGCATTTGAATTGTGTCAATGTGTTGGCTTGTCTATTAGTATTACGAATACTAATAGACAAGCCAACACATTGACACAATTTAGCAACAAAAGTCCATTAGAATTTAGAAGGTTTCATCTCAATACTTTGATTGTGATCATGTTGTGATGTAACATAACAATTTTATTGTTTTCACCGTATAGTAATGCAATTTTTTTCAGTCTGATTGTTTCTACAATGCTGGATGGACTGAGGATGTCCGAACGGTGGTCAATTATATACACAAAGAGAACCCTAGGGCACCTTTGTTTGTTGTTGGAACTAGCATTGGAGCTAATATTCTGGTAAGTTCCTTGCTTGAATCTTATGCTATGCTTCCATCAGATGTTTTAAAATGTCTTGCTTGAGTTTTAAGGTCCATTTGTTTAAGCTTGAATAAAGTGGTTTAGTTTTACACATATAGCCTTTCTATATGCTATTATTTTTATAGTTAAATTATACACGAGTATTTTGTTATGATTTGATCCCTTCTATTGATAATGTCGTTATGACGGCCCAAAACTTAAATGATAGGGATTAGAATGTAATAAAACAATTGTATAGGAACAAATGTGACTTTTTTAAGTATAAAGATTAATTCGTAGACGTGTGTTAACTATAAGGACTAAATATATAATTAAACTTATTTGTAAATATTGAGAAAGGTACTAAAAATTTTTTTTTGAGGGTTTTGCTTTCCCCTCCCCTAAAAAATAAATAAATAAAAGGGAGATCTAGATTACAAGGCTCCCACCAAGTAGGGTCTACAAAGGGTGGATGTATGCAGCCTTACCCTTGCAAGCAGAGAGACTAGTTTACTTATGAGTTATGATCATTGCTACATGTCATACTTTGTCTGCTTTGCAAACTACAGCAAAACTAAAAACTGCAGACCTTTTAACTTATTCTCACATGTTGGACTTGATGAAATTGCTACACTATTTGATTTGAATGATTGTTAGCAGATAAAATATCTAGGTGAGGATGGTGAGAATATTCCTGTAGCTGGAGCCGTAGCTATTTGCTCTCCTTGGGACCTTTTGGTTAGTATTTCAAGTTCAGATCTACTTCTAGTGACTTTTAAAATCTGTATTGATCATTGAACCAACGAAAGCATTGATTGATTATTCATTAGTTCAGCCGTAAACCACAGTTGAACCAATGGTGATTAAATATATAATTTTATTATTATTATGTAATATATTAAGTAATAAATTAATAAAAAAAAAAACGAAAGAAGTATAGTTAGTTAAAATTTTGAATTAACACAATCATATTACATATCCTCCAAGATAGTGTCAATAATAAAAGGCTAAATATTATCCATCCATGTGTACTTTATACATGTGAATTTATTTATTTCATCTTTTTGTACAAAAAATAAAGAAAAGTTCAAACCATTTTTAATGGGTTTCGAACTGGTTTTTCACTAATTTTTTATTGTTTAATTTTTTTTGGATTGCCTAGACCAGGGGTCTAATTGATTCTTTATCTTGTTTTTTGAAAAACTGGCCGATCTGGTCTGTATTTTTTATCCATGACTTTTAGGCTTTTAGCATACAAGATGTATATGTTTTTGGTTCAAAATTGTTTGATATAATCTATCTCATATAATCAATGAAGTTTTATTGAATTTGATTATCAATTCAATATTACTGTTTGTTTGAGCTTTTCTTCATTTTCCCTGTTATTTACCTTGACAGAAAGTTTTTGTAACCTTTTTATTGTTTGCAGATAGGAGACAGATTTATAAGCCGCCGGCGCGTTCAGAAGTTTTACGACAAAGCACTTGCAGTTGGACTACAAGGTTATGCAAAATTGTATGTCTGTATCTTCCCAGTGTTGTTTAAATATCTTGTTGATAAGATCTTGAATTTTCATCTATTACACTCTTCATATGCAAGATATGAGAAATTATGATCTTCATGTAGTTCATAATTTGACTTTTTTGTATATTTTTACCCATATTCATTGCAGACACCAGCCTCACTTTTCTCGCCTTGCTAATTGGGAAGGAATAGAAAAGGTGCCCTTGCTCTCTATAATTCATATTACTTCCGGTTTTATTTATGGGGAACACCTGACAATACTTTTTGGTCCTAAATATAAGGAAAAAAAAAATATTTTTCATATGCATTCATTAGATGATAGGTTCTTTTTATACCCTTATTTATAGTAAGATTTGCGTTAACAAGGTACCTATTCCTTATACATAAAAGTGAATACATTCATTCATTTAATATATAACGTTAATTTAATCATTTAATATTGTGGGTATTTCTAGAATAGAGTATAAACTTATGACATATAACTATTTATTGGTCTTGATGAATTAGTTACTTGTTTCTTATAAATAGGAAGGTAGTATTTACTACTATTAAGTATAAAAACCAAGCTGTGGTTATTTAAATTGTATTATATGCACCTGTTTAAATCGAGTATGTTCTGTTATTTGATACACATTTTTATTGATTTATTTTCTAACTGAAAAATAAAGCTATCTTCTTATTGTGGTATTAAGGCAACTTGCTAGTAAACTAGTAAATGAGGAAGATACAATACGGGTGTGAAGTTGTTTACCTAGGACTTGCAAATGTCATTATTTTTCATTCCTTAATACTCTTGATTGTGCTATTTTATAGTGGTCATGTTTAAATTTACCAGTCAAGGACATTATTCAAGTGCTATAACACAGCGCTTCATCATTCTAATATGTGCAACATTCCCAAATGTTATGTGCCACATTTTTTTGGTTTTACTTTATGTTTTTCAATTTTAACCAATCATGCTTGCATGTACAATCATGTGCTTTGCAGTCACTTTCTATTCGAGATTTTGATAATCATGCCACCCGCATCGTTGGAAAGTACGAGGTACTTATATTTTACCTAAAATTTGTAACCTATTTTCTTGTCTTATCTCTTATTTTGACTCATGTCAGTTAACTAAAATAATTTTGTTTCCTTAGACTGTTGATACATATTATAGACGCTGCAGCAGTTCTATTTATGTGCAATCTGTTTCAATTCCTCTTCTTTGTATTAGTGCTCTGGATGATCCAGTCTGTACCAAGGAAGCCATTCCCTGGGATGAATGCAGGTAAATAAAAATATTTTTTTTTTCCTGTGTTCAATTAATTCGATTTCTGTGGTATTGCTTCAGCATTAATTTTGATGTTCTCCTTTTTTGATAGGGCAAATAAAAATATTGTGTTGGCTACTGTAAAGCATGGAGGACATCTGGCATTTTTTGAAGGGATAACTGCATCTGGCCTGTGGTACTGGAGTCATTTTGTACATCTGACTCACTTATGCGTTTTGATGTCCTTCATTTATTGCAAAAATGCTCTTTTTACATGTTTTTACTTCTTTACCGCTTTTTTTGGGGTGGGCAGTATTTGTTGCAACCTTCTAATATCTTCTTTATCATTCCTTGGTGGGTTCAAGTTACAATAGAATATCCACGACCAACTGATTTCTAATCAAGCAGCCACTAGTATAAAGAAATTGAATAACAATTTTCTTACCCTTGCAGGTGGGTAAGAGCTGTTAATGAATTCCTTGGTGAATTGCACGCTAGCGGTTATATGCATGTGCAGAAGAAGGTAACGAATGATATGCAACTGTAATGATATGGTTCTGTACTACTAATAAATGCCATATATATTTTGGTATCGTGTAAAAGATGTAACTGGGATTGTGGTAAACTAAGTTATCTTTATCTGGAGCACTAAGCAGAGCATTTCTATTGGCTGAAACTGCTGTTTTTTCTGGTGCAGATCTCTAAACCAAACACGCCATTGGACTCATCAATTGATCAAGGCCCTTATGTTAATGTTACCGAAGATGGAATGGTGGCTGCATTGAACAGCGAGCCAACAGCAAACTATGTGGAAGAAATACAGGCAATACAAGATACACATCATGGCAGCATTCCAGAAGAAAAAGTTGATAAACAAGATGAACTTGAGACTAATGCAAAGAGTGATGATTCGTCTGGCATTGCTGAAACGGCTAGTGCCCACGATGCAGCAGTGCATGTAATAAGACCTTTCAATAAATACCTAAGGCAGTTATCTCGACAAAATCGATGGTCCATCTGGTTGCTAGTTTATATTGCCATTACCACGAGTTGGCCTCTGGTTGGTTCAGCCCTGTATGTCGTGTTTGGTAAAAAGTTAAGGAATATCTTACCAGGTGGATTGGTCCGAAGATAATTTCTTGACCGCAAATATTATTGTTGTATTTGTCTCTAGATTTATCCTACTCTTTCTCTTTGCCTTCCTATCAGGCGAAATCTGCATTTCCAGAGCAACTAATTGGCACTTTCAGTGGTTTGTTGTTTTCCTTAAACCACTACTGCTTTGTAGACAGTTCCTCTTCTGCAACAAATGGAACCTATATATTATTTGAATATTCTGCTAAGTTAAAATTATGCATTACGTGGTGCACCAAACGCCTATATAGTGTACATGAAGAATATATAAAGATGGTAGCTGACGGAATTTCTAAAATAACTAATATGGATTTGTCTTGGTTAATATACTAGGTAAATAACTCTATCTTATGTATATTAATGATATCTTATTTATTAAAATTAAATAAAAGATTAATACAATTTTTAATTCAAACTTCTTTCAATTTTTTTTATAAGAAATAAATAATTAATTTATTAATATCAATAAAACGTAACTGTCATAAATTTATTATAAATTCTAAAAATAAATGATTAAATGATTGGGTCAATAAATGAATATATTGATTTATATGGGTAATAGGTAAGTGTATTTTGTTAAATACAAATACCATAATAAATATAAGAATTTAACAATTAATGTATTTGAAAATTGTTTTTATTTTTATATTTTAAAAATAATTATACTTACTTTTTATTAAAAAAATAAAACTGAAAGGACTATTTTAAGTTCATTAATTTACCGAAGATAGAGTTATTTATTTTATATTATAACTTAGCCAAACCGTACTAACATAATGAGAGGGAATGATCAAATTTAAGAATCGCAAAATATCAATGCGTTATGTGTTAATGAGAGTCCAGTCAGTGATGGTTTGATGTGTTCACGTAGTCCAGTCAGTTATCGACACGCAACAGATATTTTTCTGAAACTGAATACATGTTTTCTTGTTTTCATCAATCTAAGACATGGCGTAAAAAGCTTTAGCCATGAGGTGGAGAAAATTGATTGCAACTCACTCGTGATAAAAGTGAAATGGTGGCAGTTGAATTCTCACTAGCTAAGATTCAACCTTTTTATATTTAAGATCGATGATATAATTTTTTTACTTGATTTCTTCCTAACTTTTAAGCGTGGCTTACCCCTCTTTTAAATTTCATCCAGAAAAGGGTAATTTTCATTCGTTATAAAGAGGGAAAAAAGGTCTCTCTTGAATACAAACTACAAGAACCATAAACGATACCTGCTCACAAACATGTTCTTTTTTTTTTGAGGGGTCAATCTCACAAACATGTTCAACTTGTAATCATAAGCACAATCTCAGCGAACAAGGGAAATTTCGAACTCAAAGCCTCCTCCACTTACTCGTGTAGTTGGCTTGAAGCCTTAAGCACAACTTGGGGATGGATTTTAAATCCATGCAATAGTTTTTCCTTGAAACGGCTTTGAGCCTAATAATTACCACGATAAAACACATAAACATAATTAATCAATAAAGTGTAAATAAAGTTCACGATCTTGATTTTCACGTATGGTGAACAATGATGTGAAAGGGTAATTTAGTGGCTATTTGTTTTAAAGCTGAACAAAATTAATCTTGAATCATTGAACGTAATTAGGATACATGGTCAAATTAATACTGTAATAACATATTTTGCATTAGAATATTTGCACGGTGGGAAGAATTAATTATAGAGCCAAAACAAACAAACCCATAACTAGGACGGGTGAAGAAGTTTGATTTTGGCAAAAAGATGTCCTTAATTTTTCGCATTAGAACATTGTCATGATCAGTAGGAAATAGTTAAAGATGATTGCATTTGTTTTCTGATGGATAGCAATACTCCACAAATTAATCCTTGCTATTTTTGTCAACCAACGGATGTTGGAGCTGGGCTTGTGTTACATTAGCTAAATATAACATTATTCAGCGTGTACAATCAACATTATTTAACGTTTTTATGGAAAAACATTTTTTACTTTTCTATATAGCTAGTAATTAACACCTCTATAAAATTGAAACTAACTCAACTAAAATAGCGTTAGTTTTTAAATTGGTATCATGCAACTCTACCCTGCTGGCAAGGAAAATAAGCCTTTATTTTCCTGTAATGTATGGTAACAATGACATGGCAACATATTTTAGAAAAACGTTAGATTTACAATGAATTTGTGCGGCATTTTATGGAAAAAAAAAGAAAAGAAAATCAAAATATGATGATAGGATGAATGGTGTACGTAATGAAAAGAGATTAAAAAAAAGGACATTAAACAATTAAATCTGTCTAAACTGCATAACACAAAAGTATATATCTCATTTGGATTTGAAATTATTGTATAACTAAATTTGTAAGATAGTTCATCTAAATTTGTAAGATAGTCAACCGAGCATATCATTGGATGACAACCAATAACTGGAACCGTGAGATAATAGCCATTGGTTTGAGTTGGAGCTTCTATTTTAGGTAAAAGAAAGGAAGGGCTCTACTGTGTGACTGTATCAAATTGGCCTTTTAATTTTACATTTGCTTAGAGAAGCATGACATATGAAATATCTGATATGGCTTTGCACTTCGATTCTGGACAAAAGTTTTTGGTAAGAGAAATGACGTATTTGTTAGAAGGAATATTATCACACCAATGGAAGACAAATATGACGTCCAAGTAATAATAAAATCTTATGAAGGAATAGAAGTTTCTTAAATCAGAAGAGGACCAAGAATATTCAACTATATAAGAAAAAACAAATCATAAGCTAGATTAGTGTCACATTGTTTTCTCAGCCTCTGTCCCTTATCCTCGTTCATTAATCAATTTAATATTGCATGGGTCTAACTTTGTTAATCCTTCTTAATCTTTGACTACAGAGATGCAATGTTCCCTTTTGGGCGGAAGATACCTTTGGTTAAAATCTAGGGCATGTTTAGCCGAAGGGCATATTTCAAACACCCACAACATATGAATACCACGTTTCCAATGAGTAATCACAAATGACAATTTATAATATCTTTAATTAATATATTAAATTACTATTCAAACGTTTCTGTAGAAAGTTATTCAATGCTTCTCCAATATATCATTCCTTTGTTATTTTCACATTAATATAAGATTAGTTGACATGATAAACAAATTAAAAGTATAAAATTAATACTAAACATTTAATACAAATATGATTTAAAATCACAGATAATTTCAATAAAACTATTTATCAAATTTATAAGCAATAGTACTTATTTTCAATACAGAAACTTGTATAATTCGTTTTAAATACATACTCTTAATTAACTTCTTTATTATTTCTTGAATTTTTTATATAACTTTAATTGCTCCCCTATTGCTTTCAAACGGATGTAACTTCTCTACTGTCTTTGATTCTATTTTGTAAATAGACGAACTTCCTTTCTTCTTTGGCCACATGTGACATATTTCATGTAGAAGTTTCAAAATGTAGACAGAATTTGAGAACCTTCCAGAAAGAAAAGGCAAAAAACCTCAAAGTTTAATTAGACAATTGAAACAAATTAAGATTATTAATGACAAATACATGCTGTTTAAGAAAGTGTTTCTAAATATTTAAATATTGTTGCGATCTCCAAGATAACGAGAGTGACTCACCCTTCTCTTACACCAATAGCATCTTTTTCGCTAATGATAATACATACAAAGTCATCATTGCTATTTAGAGAGTGTCAAAGATGCCAAGAGTTGGAGTGCAAGAATCGTAATATCTGGAAGATCCCCTAAACCTGTTACAGTACTGTTCATAATTACACCCACGATCCTCAATCAAAGTATTAACAGCTATTATGCAAATTATAATATTTTAAGAGAAGACAACAGTTGTAGAAGCAAATAGTTTGCATCTTAGGATGCAGACAACTAATATCTGGATTCTGGTGTCTCAAATAAAATAAAGCTATTCCAATACTCAAAAGACTACATAGCCATGATTTCACGGATCATGTCATATGAATGGGAGGGCCACAATATTGCATTTCTTTTTTAGCTTGCTGCTACACACACACACACACACACAATGTACTCACTCAGCTTCATGTTATTTTATTTTAAGATTTAATTAAAAATACCGAGTGTCTATTAATCATAAACTGATGTATTATTGATTTTTATCATAGTATTTTAAAAAAATTCATAAAAGTATTATTTAATTTGCTAATAATATAAAATATAGTAAATAAATTCTTATTTTTAAATGACTCATTATACACTTATTTTTCTTGATTACATGAAATACTGTACACCAATATGCATTAGTTTGAGTGAAAGATGCTTGAATTCTTTAGATATATAATTTAAAGTTCAATTCAAAGATTTGTATACACTAAAATACTACTTAAAGAAATGTATATTTTAATACTTGGTCAATATTTATTTCAAGAAATTAAATTTTAACTTACGAAGAGAGAAAATAATTTAGTAAACAAGAAACAAAAGTAACTACGTTGAGAATAAAACAATAACATTAAGCTAGCGCACAACAATAAATACTATGATCAAGACAACACGTGCTACGGATCCATTGATGCACACGCGTCTTTGTACATGTCTCCAAACTGTCATGATTCCACTTAGGACTGCTAAATTATTGAAAGTGAATTTATTCTTTTCAACTAATTAATTGGTAAGAAAGTTACCATTTTATCTACATTCTTTCATTTGTTTTGGCACTGGTGAAGAGTTTATTTTGGAGGGGAAATTTGGAAATCACTAGTGATGATGTGTAGTGTATGAGTGATGACTTACTTACTCCACTGCTCTTTCCCCATCCATCAATTTTCCCTGACACGATTGCTATGCAGAACCTTTCTCTCTTCAACCCCCACCACTACTTCCTTACCTTTCTTCTTTTTCATCTTGGCACGCAAAGAGGGCATGCTCACGCAAAGGAAAAAAAACACATATACATTTGGGAGGGACGTGTTTGTTTCTTGAGAAAAGAGAGGGATGAAAAAACCCTCACGTGGGGTTGTCTGACAAACCCCATTTTTCCCACTAACCTGAATGAGAGATTGAATTGAAGTACTTGTCCTTCCTTGACACCTTTGTTTCTAACACACACACCCATCCCTTCTCTTCAGTCCACTTCATGCTATATATTATACACGTACCCTTTTGCTTTTTCTTTATCTTTTTTTTTCAATTATTTCACTTTTTAAATTTATTTGTGTGCCTTGTGATTCATTTCTCACGCAAAAGGGAGAGGAAAATGTATAAAAATAATAAAATATTT